TGAAAAACTAATTTGCCAAGTTAGGTCACAACACTTCACTTATAAAAGTCTAAAGAAAACACATGTTTCTTTTCATAAGCAAATACTTTGATAGTGGGCAATGCTTTTTCATAGTCTGCAAATATGCAGATAAATGAGCAAGAAGTATGGGTCCCATAGCATCAAGTTCTTTTTTAGTCCCTTCTCTATTTGTAGTTCAATTGAACTTCTCTATTTGTAGTTCTATTGAACTTCTATTTGTAGTTCATTCGTGTAGTCTTGACATAGAACTTAGTGGTACAGTGTCTCAATTCCATTTAATGACCACCTACTGTGTGCCAGCTGCTGGGTTAAGCACTGTGGATAGTCCCATGAGCAGTTGAAGAACACATTTATTACCATCATAGAAGGTGTAGTCTTGCTAGATTAGGAACATATCATTTTCATTCCAAGGCCTAGAATGTGAATTTTAGAGTTTCACATGATTTCAAAATGGCTTATAGTCTGATTCATTCATTAAACAGATGATGAAATGGAGAACACAAAAGTTAAGGAAACATATTCCCCAGAGACCATTCCTCTCAACTAGCAATGGTGTCTGCCCACTATTCCTGCCATTTATTGCTTTAAAGCTTTTTTATCCTGCCCGCCCCCCAATGTCCTTTTGTTGTTGTGTTTTATCTGCTTAAGATTTCTTCGCTGTCTATGGTCTGATTTGATATTAAGATCAATCTTCTGATTTAATGTAATTTCTTTATCATTTTGCCTCTTCCCTTTGTCTGACAACATACCTGGCAGATGTCCTGTCCTTAGAGTTTGATAGACAATCCCAAGGTGCCATAGACCTTTTGAAGACCTGGAAAAAGAGAACAGTCTGCAGTGATCTTTCTCAGTCTTCCATAGAAAAGCACTGACCCTTAGCTCCTTCAAGCTACTTGGGTTTGTCCAAGGCCAAGGCAGAGTGGCAGACACGGCTGCTGGTTTTCAGATACCTTGAGACTGGAAAACATCCTTTGGGGCGGGGAGAGAAATGAGGACATGAAATCGCTTGCTATGGTACCTATCATTCTGTTAAGGACAGTGAAAACACAGTCTGTCATCCTTGACATTTTAATTGAAAGAAAAGCTTACATAGATTTCAGCCGTAAGCAGTATGTTTATACAAGTGTATAAAGAGGAATAATCTGTCAAGTTGGAAAACTCTTAATGCTATGGGACTCAGTTTAGTAATTGAACAATCCAACATGAGCTCACACATCTTACCTTGTTCCATGCCTCAATAATTTTTAGTAGAAATACTTTACCTAGAGGCATATGGTTATTAAAAAGGAGGCTCGGCTTGCTCAAAGTCTGGAATTATTAGCTCATGGCAACAAGCCTGCACTGGAGAAAGACTGTTGGGTCTTTGTTTTCACAACTTTACTGCAATTTGCCATCTTATTTTCAGAGCCTAACTGATGTGTTGTTGGGGAAGTTTGTATTTGTTACTGTTTTTTTTTTTAAGTAAGAAAACATAATTTCACATGGGTGAGTGACTTCTCATGTTAACAATATTACAGAATTTTACTGTCTCATGGTAAGTTCAGAGAGCAATGTGAATAGCAAAAGAAAATGGACCATGAATTTGTTTTAGCCTAGAAAATCAATAACTTTGTTAGGGGAGCCATCAAGGTGTGATGGGGGAAGCCCTACGTACTGCAACTTGAGTCCAGGTCCTGCTTCTTTTCATGACCCAAGTGACCTTGGGTAAACTAAAGTGTTTCTGAATTCAGCTTAATCCTGAGTAAAGTGGGAGTAGAATGACCTGCCTATCTCTTTGCATTATTTCATGTTACACAAACCTGAAAATACTTTGAAAAATAGGAAGTGTGCAAGTGCATTATAAAAAGTTTTATGCAAGTGCAATGAATTAAATAATAATTATTTTTATAGACACAAAGGAATTAGACAATTAATGCAGTCATTTCGATACCACCAATGCTTCAGTGATCTGAATGTTCCGGACAAATGATTATTTCTTAGGCCAAGTGACATAATCACCAGTCTAGCCTTTTGTGTCCCTGTTGATCAGGAAGCACAGATTTATTTTTTCTTTTAGTCTCTGTGGTTTTAGAAGCCCGAGCAAGAAGTTTAAACAACTTCATCTCTAACTGGTTTTATAGATGGGATTGGGTTAATTATTTACAGAATTTGTATAAAATAATTCCAATTATTTAGAATTCAAAGATACAGGTCCTTAAATAACCATTTTTCTCCCTCAGCATTCATTGCTAATTGTTCTGATTGGTATCATTAGGTAATTATTTTTATAATCCCAAGAGAATCCAGTACCCTGAAAGCCTTTCTTAATTAATGAGGGAACACTTGATATTTTAAAATCTGGTAAATCATTCCATGATGTGGAAATAACTGACCTACTAGGAACATTGTATTAAATGAAACAAACCATTCCCCAATTATTCAATGCAACTGGGAGTTCTTCTGAGTTTGGGGAAGAATGAAAACTTATTTTAAATTTAATTTAATTTAATTACTTTTGTGTCTCCATTCAGATCATCATTAAATTGTTTGATTGCTTTTTTAAAAAGAACACATCAATAAAAATGAATAAGCAAGATTAGTATCTCAGGTTGGAAACAAATAATATCATGTTTTTGTTTGTGGGGATGATATTGCAAATCAACACAATAAGAAGTAACATTTTCAGTTTCTTATACGAGTCTGCTTGTCCCTGTCTGTAATAGAAGGATTCTCCCTATGACTAGGTAAACAGACAATCCACAGAAAGCTCTGTGTGTGTGTGTGTGAGTGTGTGTGTATGTAAATGTATGCATTTGTATGTCCAGGTGCATATGGATGTATATGTATGTACATCTATCTGGGTAGATGAACAGATAAATGAAAGGATGGACGAGTGGATGATTGATTAGTTGGCTGTGAGATGCTCTTAGTGAATCTTCCTCATTATGAAACTAAAGAGTTCAGACTATTAATCTTCTTAGAGGCACTGACCATTATTAAACATGAAATGCTTTGATATACGGCTGTTTTCTTTTCATTGAAAGTTCCAAACAAAATACTAAGACTACAGAATATGAATCAAATGTTATCTGTGGACTGATTCACATTTTATGCTGATCTGACAGGAACTATCCACCACTGAATAAGACTTAAAAAAAATCAGTGAAATTACAATCTACTATAGAATTTTGGAACAACTGAGGCCAGCAGTTTCCTAAAACTGCAAAAGCTACCAATCTTTATAGTTACCCCATGCTCCAGAGATTCCAAGGGTTCAAATCAAGAAATACCCATCAACCTTACTTTCCTAAAAACACTCATTCCATCATTACAAACAACATACATTAGCTTATCTACATAACGATTCAGGCATACATCCTATTAATAAAGCTAATTTGTTTACCTCTATATAAACTCTGTATAAAGATTTTATGCTCTTTTATGTTTTCATATATACAAACTTCCTAACCATGCAAATATTGACCAATGTATGACTAATCATTCCATATGTGTGACTGTGATGTGTATCATATAGTTAGTATATAATATATATTCCACATGTAATTTATATATATACTTATGTACATATGTATGTGTAGGTATATATACATGCATGTGTATTCCAGAGGACTTCTCAGGCACAAAGAGTGGAAGACCTATTCTTCTGTGGAATTAGAATAGCATGCAAAAACATGTTGGCATCCTTTCCCCCATTCTATCCCCCACGTTTCCATGAGTCACCCATCAAAGGCAATGAACACCAAAGAAGGGGCTCCTCTTGATGCTCTGATGACGCTCTGGACTGGGATGTCCTTCCAGGAAGCCCCTTGAGGTCATGGTTTTCAGAAACATCTCTGTCTACAACTAAAACCCAGCAGTTAGCATAAAGGGACCTTTTTTTGCCCCCTAAAGAAAATGTATTAATTTTGGAAGCACTAGTTTTTCTCATGTCATCCAGGATCAGGTTATTTAACATGGAAGATTCAGAGGTCATGAGGGATTTTTATTTATTTGTTTGTTTTGTTTTGTTTGTTGTTAAGTCTTTAATTTAACGGTTTGATATTTATATAGCTCCCCCAAGGCAAAAGCATCAGGAGATTGAGAATTTAGCTGAAGAGGTCACTTGTTTGCTATTTTTAATAAACACAAGTAATTCCCTTTTTCCCTCAGCCCCACATTCCCTAGCTCATTAAATCAATTTAAGGCCCTTAAAAAAATTTTCTGGCAAATTGAAGCAAAAGCTCAAACTATGTACTCCCTGGAGGAATGCTTACCCAATTCCTACAGGTCAGGCCAAGATCAGTTTCTGTCAAACAGCCTAACACCTCGAGTTATTATGAAATGAGGGATTGGTAATTGGGGGCTGGGCTCTGGGCTCTGGACTCGCCCGAGAGGCTGTAGTGCCTTGAATCACGATCCAGCTGCTTTGGTTTGTGACCTGGCTTTGGTTTTTTTCCACTCACAAGTGGAGAACTATGAAAAAGTCAGGATGGATTTCTATTGGGAATTCATGAATGAAGTTGGCTGCACAAATGCAGATAGTGAAAGTGTATCAGAGTAAAACCAGGAGGGCTTCCAGGTAGAGGTGTGGTGGAATGTGGAGAAAAGAAATGTATACAGATCTCAGCCTCTGACACCTGCTAGAGGGCAGAGACTTCTAAGTAAACACAATTTTGCCATCAAGTCCCTTTCCTAAGATTCAGGGCTTGTGGGAGATTTACCAGCTTGTTGTCTATTGAACATCAGTTAGGTAACAGAGATCAGGAAATGAAGTGGAATTTGATGTATTAACTAGGAAGCAGCAAAGGAAGCCAGCCTTGTGTTTTATTTGTTATTATTTCCCTAATATCCTCAATTACATGGTTCCCATCAGTGGGTCTGATCTGCTGCTCTTGTAATGGTGGTGTTCCTGCCGGTTCTGGACACAGGGAAGTAGGTAGTGAATCCCTTCCCAGGACATCAGGAATAATGTTTGCTTTTTTTTTTCTTCTTCATTCCAGGCCTGTTCCAGGCTCTCTATCTTCTCTGCTACATCTCCACAACAGACAGAGACAGCCCATGCCAGCCTCCATGCCCGGGACCCTGCCTAACCCCACGATGCCGGGATCCTCTGCTGTCTTGATGCCAGTAAGTGCTCATCCTTTCCAATAAGTCTTGCTCCTTTTGAAAAAAGAAGGGAAAGGGCTGAGATCTAAGCTGACTGGGAATATAGTGGCTTCTTTTGCAGAGTTGAACTGTCTGCTGGTTTGTTTAGAGGGCCCAGCTGTCTGTCCCTAGCAATTTCACTGGCTTTGTCACCCTGCTATGCTTCCCTAGAGAGGCAGGGTCCCATGTGGCCACTGCTGGCTGACAGTGAGCTTGCCACACTCAGGGGCTGGAATTTGTTCAGAAACACAGTATATCGTAACTACTCCATTGTCTATAGCTTGGGCTATAAGACAAAGTGTGTTTAAAATTGCGGGGGAGTCATCTGACCAGGACTCAGTAATTTTTATAATAATGGCAATAATAATGATGACACATATTAGCTACTGACATGTATTTGTGTTTGCTTATCTTGTTCTATAAATCATGCTAGCAGCATTTGAGTGCTTTCCACAAGCCAGTCACTCTCTGAACACTTTATCAACATATGTAACAACCCTATGAGATAGATACCATTGCCAGCCCCATGTTTTGAGGGAGGAAAATAAGGTAAGTTACTCCCTGAGCTGAGATGCAGAGCAGCTGAGTTTTGAATTTAGGAATTCTGGCTTTCGGGCCACCTCTCAGTCATTGTAAGATGTATACATTTGCTCTTTTCTTGACAAACTTTTGAGTTCTAGTATATTATTACCCCATTTTACAGACATGAAACTGAGGCACAAGAAGCTGAGCAATGTGGCTGAGGTCACCTTTTAGGTGATGGAGTCAAGATTTCAATCTAGTTGGCTGACTCCCAGGTCAACACTCATAATCACTGTATTATACTGCCCCCTCCCCTACCCCCTGAAAACAACAGATTAACAAAGGAGGGAGATACAGACTACATGCAAAACCTCCTCTCCTTCCATGGGATCCCCTCCTGTACTTGCTCTTCCTCTCTGTGGCATGGTGCTCTGGTGAACATGGCCAAGGAGTTCTCCCTGGTCCCAGAGATGGTACGACAATTCAATTAAAACTCACCCACAACAATGTCGGCAATGCCTTGCCTAACATTTTAGCATGCTAAGGAATTGTCTGCATTTAGGATTTCATTTTGTTCTCACAGCAATCCTGTGGAAATCTGGTAGTAATAACGACGATAAACTCATTTTATACATAAAAACTGAAGAGTAAGCAGTTGAAGATGGTTGTCTAATGTCACCCAGCTTGTGAGTGAAGGTTTGTGACTAGAACCTACAGCTCAACTTACACTAAGCAACTCAAATCACCCCAGGTTGAGCAATTTGCTAATTTATTTAAGTGGCGACAAGGGTATGAGGAAGGGCTCCATGACCCTAATTCTAGAAATGGACCTGTCCCCTACAAATAGCCAGTATCCACCCTGGAAATGGTCTTTGCAAAACTGGGCTAGAAGGACAGATGAGCTGACAGAATTTATCTGCATTGCTCATCTTAAACATCTTCAATGGAAGGAAAATCTCACCTTAGTGCCATACCAACATAATTTACTGCATAGAGCCTTCTACCACAAGCTATCTTCATTTAGGTTCCTATATTCCTCTTGTCCAAAAATTTCAAAGACTCTGCTTCAGTGATCTTATTTTTTTCATTTGACTAAACTGTGTATCATTCCCAGGAGCAAAAGTTGGACCCTTGGACTGAAAAGTTCCAAAGCAAAATTGCTTGGTGTTGGTTTCCACCATATCACCTCACTGTACAATTTGACCTCTGGTTGATGCTTCAGAATGGAAGGAAAGAATAAGGTGTATGGTCAAGGAGCAGTATAGACAAAAAGTCATGGATTTCACCCCCAGGAGACCCCAAACTGTTCAGTGATATGCACTGATGCCATGATAAGGTGTCGTGTAGATCAGTGATTGTCAACCGGGAATGGTTTGGTTCCCCGGGGAAACATTTAATAATACCTAGAGATACTATTGGTTGTCACAACTTGCAGGGAGGAGTATAATTGGCATCTTGTGGGTAAAAGCCAGGGGTGCTGTTAGGTATCCTATGATGTGCAGGACAGCCTCCATCACAAGGGATTATTTGACCCAAAATATCTGTCGTGCTGAGGATGAAAAACCCTGGTCTAAATGACACTGATATAATGAATGAAAATTAACACAGAGTCTCCAAAAATCCTGTCCTAAGAGTTCTAGCTCCTAGTAATCTGCGCCTTTTCCTCCTTGTTATAAAGTAACCAGCTCCTGTGCTTTCACTTTGGCATTTCCAGCATGTTCTTCCCCTAGAGTTTCTGCTCCGGGAAACCATGTTTCCCTGGATATAAATATAAAGCTATATCTTTTGGGTGAAGTTGAGATTCTTAACTGATGGATAGTGCATGCTGCCAGGCCACACATTTCACAAAGCCCTAGATCTGGAACAAAATGATACGTTTGTCCATTCACTCACTCGTTCATTTCACAGGCTTCTGTTGGGCACGTTCTGTGGCCCAAGTTCTCTGTTGGGGCGTGTGAAGGACAAGGCAGGTGTGAACCTTCAAGGGAGTTCACTGGGTGGCAGTTTCCTGTCTTGAGAGTCACCTGCATAAATAATTTGGGAATATGACCACCCTTACAAAAGTCCAATGAACTGCATATATTTTAGTTCCTGTTTTGCAATTTGTTTCAAGGGTAAAGAACACTCTCAAAAAAAAAAAAAAAGAAAAGGTGAACTTCTTTACTAGGGTATTTTACCTCCCGAGCTATGGTACTTGGTCTTCATGAAAGCTGCTCTCAGTTGCTGACTTCTTCATTCCAGTAACGCATAAAAGCCACGCGCAGGATGCACAGCCTTATTCGCACAAAGCATTGCATAGCAGTTTGGAAATGGCTCTTGCTGACCCACCATAAACACGAAGATGGAAAAGTGCAATTTTTTTTACATAGATCAGTTGGTTTTCAGAATTTTGTTTAATTTGTGAGTCACAGCGTAGAAATAGTCATAAATTCTAAGTGTTATTACTAAAAGCAAGAAACGTGGACTCTGGATCGAGGCTGTGTTGAACATGCCTCCCCCTCCTTTGTTGAACATGCCAGCTAGAAGCTTGGAAATCCTGGACAATTGTTTGTGTTTCTGAACGATCCTCCTTCAGAAAACCAAAGACAAAAGCCCATTTGAATTTGATTTCTCTCTAGGAGAAGGTCCCCAATGGAAAAAGGTCAAATTCGATTATAACTTTTGGTCTTCTAGCCACTGGAAGTGGGAGAAGTAATAAGCATATTCTAGTGCATTCTTTGGACCTAATAATTAGAATGCACAAATGTCCTTAATGGCGCTGAGCAGTGTATTTAAAAGTGGTTAAAATGATAATTTTATGTTATGTTCATTAAGTTTGTTTATATTATGTTATGTATTATAATTACATATTCTATGTTTTTGTATATTTTACCACAATTAAAAATAAACTAGAGCATCTAGATTGCCTGGAGATTTACTATGCAAGGGAGTATTTTATTTTGCAGAATTGGTAAGGCTTCCAAAGGTTTTGCAGGACTGCTCTTGACATGTGTATCATCCAGGAATTGCTCTTGAAGGTATAGAAAATGCTCCTGTATTAAATTGCTCCTTTGGAAGTAGTCTCACACAGTCGTACCCCATAACAGACTCAGGTGCTTTGCTGTGACAGGAAGTGCCCATATGTCATTGCCAAGAGTGACCGTGAGCACCTCTGCTAATCCACACAGTAATGTCTTAATTATCCCACAGGCCTAGGGTGGACACAGGAGGAATTGCAGTTACAGAACCTCAACAATGGAAGGACCGGAAGGAGTCATTTGTTCAACTATCATTCTCAACTCTTGTCTGTCAGGTTTCCGTCCACTCTTTGAAGAGCTCCAGCGATAAGGAGCTCTATTTTCAAGACTACCTAGGCTAACTTTGAACAAAAACCTGGTTCTCTAAAATTTCCTACCATTGTTTTCATTTCCAGCCTTTGGCAAATGGAAAAAACATCTACAGTGAAGAATCTATTTCTCCCAGCCCCCACTCCCAGGAAAGTAATTTTTTCTGTGGGATTTGATATTAAATATTTTTGCTTTATTCTAGTTCTTTGAAACATGCTAATTTTCTACAAAACAGACAGTATTAACCAGACACACCCTTCCCTGATTGGAACAGAAGTTTTGTGCTATTTACTTTTTCACAGGAACACCTGGAGGCAAGAATGCCAGAACTGCATTAAAGTATTTGGATGATGTTAATTCTAGACATGATGATAGGACGATGTGGGAGCAGTGGGTCGCGTGTCATCTAGCACTCTCAGCTGGTTTCTTCATCTGCCCAAAGACCTAGCCCTGCTGTGAGACATAAAATTGCACCTCTCATACCTGTGCTGGGTCATTAGGATTGTGTTCATGAGTTAGAATGACAAGAAAAGTCCCCATATTGGAGAGCATTACTTTTAAAATTAATTTTATTTTTCTTGGTGCTAAACTGTTTCTGTATAAAGTTTAAGAAGAATAAAAAGTTAAATAACCATTTGGTATGTTTATATATGTGATATATCTCACACGGGTGTGTGTATATGTGTGTAGCCTTGCAGAACTTTTTAATGCATATGTTATTCTTTACAGCTATAAAAATAAGTGTGATTAGTGGTAGTTGCTGGAATGTTTGCAAAAGTGGAAATATCCCATACTTTTGTTTGAAAATGACTGAGGACTGCAACTTGATTCTCTTTGGCTTGGGAGCATCTTCTATGAAAGGGGCAGCTTTTGATGAGCCTTTGATGTGCTTGGGGTCAAGGCTCAGGAGTGTGTTGTTCGCCCTTCCCCAGACCACAGAGTTATTCAAAGAAATTCTAACTGATCCATTGGAAGAGAAAAGCAGCTTTGTCTATGACCTAGGTTGCTTCTCTCAGACTTCTGATTCTATTACTTTCCCTGCTCTTAGATGGAGAGACAAATGTCAGTGAACTCCAACCTCCTGGGAATGCAAGGTCCAAATCTCAGCAACCCCTGTGCTTCACCTCAAGTCCAGCCAATGCATTCAGAAGCCAAAATGGTGAGTAGTGGTTATAATCACCTTTGTTATTTCATGATTTCTTCTTTTGATTTCTATTCTCACTTCCAAATTTCAGTTAAGTCAGATAGATGGCTCCATCTTTGTTTCAGTGAATAGGTTGTTTATGGAAAAGCAGTAAGCGCTTGGCTCTGTCTTTGAAGATATTTTTCAGCAAACGTCAGGGTCAGACGGCCATGTAACAAGCATTGGGTCGTCATGTGGCCTTAATAAATGGGATATAGGAGTTGATGTGGGGTGCACCCAAGTATGTGTATATTTGCTCATAATGTGAAGGTAAAAAAATAACCCAGAGTTTCTCTACTTCCAGGAGGTCATAGTTTCAATGTCACTATTCCTGTTCCCATATTCATTAAAACAGACATGTGATTTTTAAGCACATGCTATTATGGAAATATTTGTGGTTTTTGTTATGGTTGTCAGATGTGGCATTGATTTGAAGGATCAGGTCCTTGTTTTCTTGCAGGGCAGCTGCAGCCCTTACAGAAATACTTGATTTCAGGTGACACCCTTCAGTGACTTTTAACATATGAGATTTCTGAGCTGTAAGGTCAGTCTGCCCAATCATAGTGACAGATTCATGCATTTGTGTTCTATTAGGTATTAATAATGGCAGTGCATGTCCATTTTTGCAATCTAAAGTAAATTTGCTGCTTTTATTTAGTGGAGTTACTTGAAATGCATCCTTCAGTGATTTGTGTAGCTAAATTCTACCACAATTAGTAAGGTATCAGATAATAACAAAGCACACTGAAGTAGTTTTTCTAGTAACTGATACTGATCCAATATCATAAAGGATAACTTTTGTTATAAGTTTGAGATTTATTTGGTTTGCTGACAAACAGCATTGGGAATCATGTCGTTTGGTTGGTGTGAGGATGTTAGTGGTGGTTCTGGAAATTAGTCATCAAAACCCAGTGACTTCGTTTTCAATGGCAGCAAGTTTTTTGATGCCTGCTTTGGTTACTTTCTTTTGGAAACTTCACTCATTTGACTTGCAGTTTCTTGACCCAAGGAATCAACCGAACTCCCAGTGCTGGCTACCTTGGGCAAATAAAATCTGTGGTCAAGAGAGTTCTTCTTGCTGTGCCACAGTCCCTATGATGTGCCAAATGGCACAGGCATCTTCAGCAAAGCTTGTTAAATCTTTTTGGAATCGGCAAATATTTTTTCAACTCAAGCCCTACAGAGCCAAACCAAATACTTGTTGGCAGAGTAAAGTTCAAACTGGCATCTGTTTTGGAGACCAAAGTCATGCCATTTACTTTTTTTTTTTTTCAAAGGAAAATAAAAAGTGAACTGTGAAGGTACTTAAGAAAAAAACAAAATTAAATTATTCATGTGTGTGAATAAGTGTTCTGGGTCTGAGCATCAGATGCTACCCATCGCCCCAACTGGATTATTTATGAATCATCTTGTTTGGTTCAGGGTCTGTATCCTTTCTGAGGGACCTCCCAGAGAAAGTTGAGGTGGATTTGAAAACACAGTCCCACAGCAATTTTCTCTGCCAGTTGATTTTCACTGGATTTTATGCCACCACTTGACTCAGAAGTATCCCCTCTTCTTGCTGGCAAAGAAGAAAAGTTCTTTCAAAGGGATCACAGGTTTATAATTATTTGTATGTATGAAATAAAAACATGGTATGGCAAGTTAATAGTGAATATCAGCTGGAGACAAAAGGTATTTGGTCTGTTCTTATAAAAACAGTGTTGCCCCACAAATGTTTGTCAAGTTCAATTTACTAAGCGAATACACTGTGCTGCTGATTCATGTTCTAAGTGAATGAATATTTCCAGATCTGTGATGTCTGTCTGGGTTAATGAACTCAATCATGGAGCTGGGCTCAGGGAGCACAGTTATTCTCCATGCTGCAGAAACCCCCCTCCACCCCCTCGTTAATTGCTGATACATTAACCTAAAGGGAAAAACTGTAGATTGGCCACTTATATTTTGGAAGAATACTCATTTACTTAGCATCTTGGAAAAGTATTAAGTAAGTGACTTTTAGTACATTACTTCACACCTATTCTTATTCTGCTTTCTTTATTCACTAGAGAAACCAGTGATTGCCATCTAGTAACTGCACAGTATTTTCTAGCAACTTTGGGTTGCTCAGATGAAAAGCTTTTATGAAATTTAAAATAGTGAAGAAAAAAAAATCTTCCATGATTTTAATGTCAGCCAGAGCCTCCCCAGGTTTCTCTGAACTATGGGCTTTGTTGTTCTATGCCTAATTTTCTTCCTGTGTAAGACTGGAATGGATTCCAGATTTCAACTAAGACTCTTGTTTCACTGTTTTCAAGGACTTTTCCAAAGGTCACACATGGGCTATTGTGATGAATGCACTCGGTGGGGTGAGTTCTCCGAGCACACAGAAACCAGAGAGCTGCTAGTGAGGTGGTGCCCACGACACGGTACTGCAGACCTGTCCTCACGGGCACAGCGGTGTCAGAGTGTCCATTTCTCACTCTCTGCTAGCCACAGACAAACTTCTCTCTGTGAAACCCAAGGGTGCTGGTGGTAGACAGGCATTTAAGACAGGATCTCTTTAAATCTACAACTTTGTTAAAAGTTCCCTTACTGGTGATGGTTCCATGGAATGTGTCCATTTTCCTTGACTCTAATTGGTCATTTCTATTGTGTCTGAGAACAAAACATGTGTCTCCAGTAAGCTTTACATTGTGGTGATCTGGGTCATCCAAAATTAAGAAACACACATGTTCCCTTTTAATTTAGTGTACATGAGTATCAAACAGTGCACTTCTATGTACTGTAGCCACATCTGCCCAAACTGGTTTATCATAATTCTGGAAGATTAGATTTTAGTTTTATGGATTCTTTTTCTGAAGATTTAAGGCAACAGACATATGGTTTCATAATTATGTAAGTGAATACATGCGTGGGTCTTATTTGGGGTCACAGCATATGTAGAACCGTGAGAGCCTCTCACCTTTCTAACCACACAAAACAATAGGTTCTTCCTCTGAGACTCCTGGGGTCATTGGGTAACCCCCATGAAAATGCGGTCTGTGAAAAGTGAAAGTCACTGGATGCCGGGTGGGCATTTTTCACATTCAAAGGGGAAAGGGAAGACGAGAAGGGGATAAGCAGAGAGAAGTGGAAAGGGGAAGAAAGAAGCAAGGGAGGGGAAGTGTAAACTAGACCAGAATACATTCCCAGCCCCTGCCGGTCCACGCATTTCTGTAATGATGTGGATTTGGTGTTCTCAGAGTGATGTAGATTTGTGTTCATTTCTTCTTGTGAGAATTAGACCAATTCTCTCTAGCTTTGAAAGGTTCTCCCTTTTCTTTTGAGAAACCAATAATAAAGTTGGACACTAAATAAGGGGTGGGAGAAATTTGTCTGTATGTCATTATTGTGTCTCACTAGTGATGAGGTGACTCCTAAGATATTGAAACAGACTAAGAGAACTGAATCCTCTTCTGGCCACTCTGCTGAGATTTCAGCCTGTTTGAACCTAGTTAATGAACCTGGAGAGTATTGATACAAGGGAGAAAGTATGTATGTCTGTGGCCTGATCTTGTCCTTTGATAGCACCATTTTAGGGCTGTTGTTCCCATTTTATACCTAGCGCAACTGAGTTGCCAAGAGATTAAAAAACTGGTTCCATAGACACATCAGTCTGCAAAGGCTGATCTTTCAAACTCCAATAAGTCTTTTCATCATACCTTGATCCTTCAGTAAAAATGTCACATCATGTAGTTGCCAGATATTGGTAACCATCAGGTTAAATCAAATTTTGTGAGATTAATCTATATTTACATACAAATGGAGACAAGAATGGCAAGGATAGGGCCTCCCTGGTTGTGCAAGGGGTTAAGACACAACCTATGATGCTATACGCAGCCACTGCAGGACAAGTTTGATCCCTGGCCAAGGGGCAACCCACATGGTGCAGCAGACCTCTCCTGGCTCACCCATTGCTCCCCTCAGCAGTGTATTTTGGTTGATCTGCCTGTTCTGTTCCCCATTCTTGTCTCTGGTGAATCCTCTTAACCCCCACCCTCTGGCCTGTACCCTAGATCTCATAAGCATAAATAAATAAATCTTAAAAAAAAAAAAAAAAGAATGGCAAGAACAGTTTAAACCTCCAGATACCCAGGAAAAAGATACAGGGTTTTGCATAGTATTGAACTGTCCCCCAACCCATTGGTTTAGCCAGAGTTCTGTGGCCTCTAGATTGACTAAGTCGGCTTCATTCCCTCTTTACCCAAACACATTGCTATCTTGGCATTTAATATTTTACTTGTCCCCCTCCACTTGATTGTTTGGAAGCTCCTTGAAGATAATCCTTGTACCATTTAAGCTCCTTGTGCTGAGAAAAGGTCTGTGAATGAGAACTGAATTGAATTGAGTTGAATTAAAATTATGGAATTAAGGAATTGAATCCTAGCTTAGGAAATGGGGATGGGATGGATGCAAGAGTTGGGGTGAGAGGAGAGGGTAAAACTAGATGTTAAGTAATCCGCTTGGACAGTAGCTGACCATATTTGATTTCTTTCAAAGATATCTAGCAATAATCCTGTCATATTTTTTCCTTGAAGAAAAGCAGTATATCTGTTCCTTCAAAAACCAAAGTTGGATTATTATTGGTCACCTACAAATTGAGATGGATCAAAACTAAATGCTGTTTCTTCCACTGTGGTGAACTGGTCAAGCTGTGTTCTGGTCATGGGCTATCCATATGTCATCCACAGTTAGGTTTGCCATGTATTGACTAGATCATAAATATATGCATTAATGAATGAATAAAAAAAAAACAAAAACTGGAGAGTTCACCTGGGAGATGCAGTTTGCCAAATTTCTCATTTCACAAATGAGGACCCAAAACCCAGTCAAGACTTAGAAAGATCAAATCATGTAGACATAAAGCTTAGCCCCTAACTCAGGCCTTCATCATTCTTCCATCTGTGCTGCTGATAAATTACTAACAGCACTTCTTTTCTTGGCTCATAGTTTCC